AAAATGTTGGGGACCACTGGATTAGATCAGCGGTTGTCAACCGGTGGGCTGTGGAAAAAATTTGGTGGGCCGCAGAAGAAATAGCCTCCAAAAGCAATTAATAGGGGCCGCGCAGTTCTCTCGCCTCCCGACTCTTTGAGGGACCCCGGAGTCAGGTCCCTGAGATGCACGCTCCAACCAGCTCCCACACACGGCGGAGGCAACAACAGTCCCCATCCCCAGCACCCACTGTTAGCTCTCACCATTAGTTCTCTAGCTTTGAATTGCTCCAGCCTCTCTTTCCTTCCCCCTGCACCCCCACGCGCCCACATGCAGGCAGGAAAGGAAAGGGAGCCGGAGTTGTACGCAGCTCTCTGCTCCTCCAGCCCTCGCTGCCTCTCTCAATATCGAAGCATCGGAGACGCAGGCAAAGCCGCCGCAGCGGTAGCGCCCTGAGTTGCCTAAGCATGCTCGGTTAGTTAAGAATCGCCCTACCCAGAGGAGGAGGTGCTGGAGGAGGAGGAGGAGGAGGCAGTAGTGGAGAAGCAAGCAACTCAGGGCGCTACCGCTATGGCAGCTTTGCCTGCGTTTCCGAGGCTTTGATGTTGAGAAGCAGCGAAGGCTAGAAAAGTGGCGAGCTGCGCATGGCTCCGGCTCCCTTTCCTTTCCTGCCTCCCCGTGGGTGCGGGCGGGGGGGGGGGAGGAAAGAGAGAGAGCCGGGAGCAATTCAAAGCAAGAGAACTAATGCTGACAGCGGGCGCTGGGGGAGGGGACTGTTGTTCCTGCCGCCGCCGTGTGTGGGAGCATGCATCTCAGGGACCTGATCCGGGAGGCGTGGGAACTGCAAGTTTGGTGGTTTTTAAGATCTCCTGGAGCGCAGTAGATTGGCGTTTTGTAGGTCTCGGTGAATGAGTGAGTTTTGTTTCACCTCCTTTCCTCCCCTGATAATGCGAAATATTCTTTCTCTCTCTCTCCCCCCCTCCCCCGCCCCCAAATAATCACTGGCTGTGGCTGGGTTTGGCAGCGAAGTGGTAAAGCGAGCAAAGTGCCCCCAGGGACACCTTTCCTTGCCTGTCTCCAGGTGAGGCTGGAAGAGCCACCCCCCCCACCCCCCGCTTTTCTTTGGCTGCAGATCTGAGCTTTCTCAATCCTCCACCTGGCATCTGAAAGGCTCTTCTGTCTCTTTGGAAGGTGGGGGGGGGGGGGCTTCCAGCCCCAAACGTTTTATTTTATCATTAAGCATTTACATTTTTGGCATAATTAAATAAGTGTGTGTGTGTGTAATTTTTATATTAAATATAAATTATATATATGATATTCAGCTTTGTTCGGGTATTTTCCCACGTCATTATAGTTGTGCTTTTAAAGCTGTAGCTACGTTTTGGCAGAATCTCATCTGGTTGGGAGTCTTGGTCTGTGTTTATTGGTCTTGGAGTTTCCTGTGTTCTGCTTGATTGGTGTTTCTAATATCTTCTGTCTGTTTTGTAGCTTTTTTTTGTCTTGATTGGCTGGCAACGTTGTGTTTCCTGTTGTGTTTAGTGTGGCAAGCCCCAATACTGGAAACACAATGTTGCCAGCCAATCAAGACAAAAAAACGCTACAAAACAGACAGAAGATATTAGAAACACCAATCAAGCAGAATACAGCAAACTCCAAGACCAATAAACACAGACCAAGACTCCCAACCAATCAGGATGAAAAAAAATCATTCTAACACAGCACAAGGCTAGCACCAAATTTAAAACAGAAATGGCTGTGAAAGCCTGACACAGACAAACTCAATACAGAAGCCTGATGATGGCAGATGAGATTCTGCCAAAATGCCGCTACAACTTTAAAAGCACAACTATAATGACATGGGAAAATACCCGAACAAAGCTGAATACCTTACATACATACATACATACATACATACATACATACATACATATTGTTGAGGTATTCCCTGTTAGGAGAATGAGTGTACCCAGGGAAAAATAGAGTGGTGATGAATAACACACAACCAGCACACAGATACACTGAATAGTAAAATGTAAGTTTTACTTCCTGTAAACGGGTAAACAAAGTCCAACAAACAGTCCCAATCATACGCAGTTAAAGCAGTATTCGAAATAATAAGACCAGGGATAATCCAAAAAACAAAGTCCTTTTCATAAACAAAGTTCAGTAAATGGAGTGTGCGAATAGTTGCAAGACTCACAGCAATTCAAGCAGAATGAGGATCAGGCAAAAGGGAAAGCAAAGGAAATGCAAAAAAGAACAAACTAGGTTTCTGGCTCCATCTTATGGCCGTTGGAGGAACCTCAGCCAATCACAATTACAACATTCTCTTAAAGATACAACAGCATTAAATGACTATCCTGGTTTGTATATTGCCAACCCAACTGTTAGGTGACTATCATTCCTACCCTTTGGGTAGGACGATATATAAAACCTTATAGTTTAAGTTCATATTCCTCACAGCAAGCCTTATGTTTTACAGTACCTTGAGCTTTCGTAAAATGATCTGCAATGTTATTCTCTGACATGCAGTACTCCAGTTTAATCATTTTACTTTGAACACATTGTCTCACATTCAGATATTGTAGATCAGTGTGTTTTGATCTTGTCTTTACAGTGAGATTGGAAGCCATCTGAATTGCTGATTGGTTGTCTTCATATACAACAATAGGCTCCTTTACATTAATTCCCATATCTATCGCTAGTGGTTTATAACATATTAAGTCCGTACATAATAGAGACAAACATGAGAATTCAACCTCCATTGTTGATAAGCTTAGATGTTTTTGTCGAATAGATCGCCATCCAATTAACACCTTTCCTAATAATACTATGGTACCTGATGTTGATTTACATGTAGGTACGTCTGTAGTGAAACTTGCATCGGCATATGCAGTTAAACTTAGTTCATCCTTAGGCTCCAAATATAATGCATAATGCATTGTTTGTTTAAGATATCTCAACACACGCTTAGCAGCTTGCCAGTGCCTTTCAGTAGGCTCAGCATTAAAACTGGCTAATTGGTTGACATGATATGCTATGTCTGGCCTAGACCAATTACTAAGATAGGATAAACTACCAATTAATGATTGATAAATGTCTTTATCAAAAACAGGACTTTGCACATCACTGTGGCTAAACTCCTGGCTCATTGGTGTCTTAGCTGGTTTACAAAGTTCCATTTTAAAGTTCTTCAGTAACTGGTTAATTTTATCTGCCTGTGAGATTTTGTAGCCTCCCTTATTTTTTTCTATTTTCAAACCAAGATACTGTTTAATCTCACCTAAATGTTTGATTTTAAATTTCTTCTCTAACAGTGAAATAATCCCAGTAGCTTCTTGCTCAGTTTTAGTGATTAATGCTATGTCATGAACAATAGCAACAATGAAATTACACCATCACTTTCCTTTTTGAATAAACATGGATCAGCCATGCCAGCTACAAAACCTATCTTTGTTACTTCCTTCACTATGCACTGGTTCCATTCATAGCCTGATTGCTTCAAGCCATAAAGACTCTTTTTTATTCTCCAGCAATCAGTTTTGTTGTCAGTTTTTATCCCCAAAGGCTTTTTTAAATATATAGTATGTGGCAACGGTGCATGTAGATATGCCATCTCAACATCTAAATGGTTTATTGTGTATTTCTTCTTAGCTGCCCACACTAATGCTGCTCGTAATGTGGTAGCCTTCAGACTAGGTGCAAACACCTCATCGTAGTCGTTGGCTGACTGATCGAACCCTTGTGCTATTAACCTGTCTTTATGGGTAACAGTCCCATCCACACCTGTCTTAATTTTATAAATCTGTTTACACCCAATGGCATGCTTACCTGGTGGTAACCTGACATTTTCATATACCTCCAACCTTTGTAAGGATTTCAGTTCCTTATCCATTGCTTCCTGCCAAGCAGCCTAAACCTTAGCAGGATACAGTTTCAGTTCATTATAGTTAGTAGGAACGATATTTACTTGGCATGCTATACTAACCTGATATCTATCTGGTGGTCGTGTTACACGGGTTGAACGTCTAGGTAACTCAGGGCTTACTGGTGGACTCTCATGTTCCACCTGCTCCTGTTCTTCTACCTCCTCCGGTGTCTGTTCTTCCTTTTTAATGGCTATTGATGGTTTAACTGTCTCATTGTTAGGGACTACTTGGGTGTCGATAACAACATCATTGTAGGATTCCTGTTCTCGTTTATGCCACCCAATGTGCTCAAGAAATTTAGCACTAGCGCTATAGTAAACATTAGCTGTGCCTGGAGCCCAGAATCTAAACGATCTATGGTTGGCCTCATAACCTATGAAAAATAATTTCCTAGCTCTATGTTGCCCTTTCAGTCTTACTTGTGAGGGAATATGCACCCATGCTGGAGCTCCAAATGTGTGTAGATAACTTAAATTTGGTTTTTCTGACATGCCAACAAGTGAATGGCAATTCACCAGTTGTTGTTACATTATTTAAAACATGGTTGGTACACATTATGGCTTCACCCCACAGTGTTTCAGGCAAATCTGAATCGGATAACATAGTGCGAGCCATGGCTTGTAATGTTTGCCCCTTTCGTTCTATAAATGAGTTATGTTGTGGCCTGTAAGGGGCAGAACGCTTATGCTCGATACCAGCCAATTTCAACATTGTTTGGAATCTAGTGTTAATAAACTCAGTCCTGTTATCTGTAACTAAGGTAATTACCCTATGTCTCATTTTCCTTTCAGCAAATCTTAGCCAGTTAAAGAAATGTTGGAATGTTTCTGTTTTGTTTTTCATTAGATAGCAGAAACTGTACCGTGAGTAATGGTCCATTATACTCAAAACATAGCAGGTACATCCCAAACTGGGTGTCTTAGGACCAATTATGTCAGCAAAAACAACCTCTAAAGGTTCTTTGGTCTTAAACCCATTCAGTCTGTTTGCAGGAGTAACCTTGCTTTTCTCCTGATTACAGGCATTACAGTTTAAGTACTTGCTACAGGGTTTTAATTTTACTCCCTCTGACAATTCAACAGTTTGCTTGACCATTTTAAAATTAATGTGGGTTTGAGTCTGGTGAGGGAGAATGGTGGTGGTGTCATGTGTTGTTTTGGGTCCAGTGTTGGTTTTCATGGCTGGGACTCAAACCCAAACCCATCCCATAGACGAAAGACAACCACCATCTAGAAACCAGACCATGGCTGCCTCACCAGCTGCCACACACCCTAACCCCGAAACCAAGCAAACGGACACATGCCATGGTACGCTTGAAGAAGCACCCCCTATAACTGCCCTACTGGCATTGGGCAGGCAACATACGGGGCAGAAGAGGCCTTACTGGTGTCACTCTGGAAGCTGACCCTCTACGTACGGCTGAAAATAAGAACAAGTAAAACAGATGTTAATGTGTTAGGGATAGAGTGTGTGGTGGAAAGATATATTCTTTTGAATTCTTTTAAAGGATTTTATGTATCTGTAGGAAGTTAGCACCCACCCCTCTCCTAGAAAAATGAAATATCTTGGGAAATATTAAAAAAGCAGAATAAAAAGGATCATCTATCAGTCACAAAGTCATATTTTGCCAAGAAACTTTGTCTTGCTTGTAACAAAACCACAAGCTAGGGAGTTTAGCAAGATGGGTTTGTGACATCCAGCCATCCTAGCCTAGCAACAAGGGAGGGGGAAAGCTGTGTTTCAAGTAACCAATGAATGACCGACAAGTTATATATCTGTGTTTTTCCCCTTCTGAAGTATATAGGCATGTGCTGTTCTATCAGAAATTTGTTCAGAAGTAGCTCTGACTAAACTATTCTGAACCTGTTTGCGCAAATAAAACCAACTTATTTTTGGATTCTAAAGTTTGAGTCTCACAATTCCCTGCAACAATAGGACAGAGACGGGATTATGCACGCCCCTTACGTAACCGGTGGCTTTAACGTCACATCCGCCGGCTTCCGAAGGCGGTGAAGGCTGCTCTAGCGTGTCTCCCCCTTTTCACTGCCCCTCGAGGCGTCGGAGCCTCTTCCCGCTCGCCGCCTTAACGGCGCCTGAGGGGAATTAAAAACCTGTGGGGACGGAGAGGAGGAAAGAAACCTTTCTCCCTCCGTTCCTCCCGCCTTCCCAACCCGGCTTCTTCTCGAACCAACGCTTTTCCTGATCATAGAGGAAAGGAAGGCGGGGTGGGGGGAGGGGAGGCAACGTGGGGCGGAAGTGACGCGACCCCGGCCGTCGCCTGGGTGGACGGCATTCATTCCGGTTCCGGTCTGAGCCTGGAGGAAGAAAGCAAGGGGTGGGGGAGAGTCTGGCAGGGGTCTCCCCCCACTTTGTCGCGGCTCCGAAGCGGCGGCCATGGAGGTGAGGGGGCGGGAAGCTGTGGCTGCCGGGGAGGAGGGCCGGGCGTAGTGCGGGGTCTTGGGACAAGGAGGGGCTGGCGTAAATAGAAGCGGGGGGGGGGGGGGAGGCTCCGCGCGCTCTTTCCAGCCCTTTCCGACGTTCCCTCTCCCACTCCGGTGATGTAGGACTTGCAACTCCAATGGTGGTCCTCAGCCCGTCCCTCCGACCCGATCCGGTGGGCAGGTGGGTTTATCGTGGGGAGAAGGGGGTTTTGCTCTCTTCTCGCTGCTTGGGTTCCCTTGAGCGTATGAACACGTGTCCGTCGAGGCCGTGTGGATATATATAATTACAGTTCACCGTGTCAAGAGATTGTCTATCGTAACCTGTCTGGCTACCTATCATCCATGTACCTACCGTTCGTTCCCTGCTTGCCTCATCTAGCCATCCATCCATCCACGGCAGGGGTGTCAAACTCACGGCCTGCGGGCCAGATGCGTCATGCGCTAGCCACGCCCACATCACGTGACGACGTGAGTTTTACACCCCTGATCTATGGTATGTACGTAATCAGGCATATATTTATCTAATCAAGCATATATCTAATCAAGCATCTATATATTATCTAATCAAGCACGTGTCATCTATCTTATCTATCTGTCTCTAATCTATCTAATCAAGCTTCTGTCATGTATCTTTGTCTATTTAATCTATCCACCTATCTAGCTACCTAATACAGTGAACTGTGGTCTTCTGAAGTCTTCTAATATATGCATTAGAGTTCGCTGTGTCAGACAAACTAGAACATTTATCTGAAATGGTATAGGGCTTCCTGCCTGAGCAGGGGGTTGAACTAGAAGACCTCCAAGATCCCTTCCAACTCTGTTATTGGGCTGACGTGAAGACAGCAGGCTCTCCCAGCTATAGTGGAGTGCCACACACAGTTGTTTGTTACTCTTACAGCTTTCACCTCCTTGCTCCAGGTATCTCACATTTTGAAGATTAAAATAATGGGAAGGTAGTACAGGTAGTCCTTGACTTATGACCACCATTGAGCCCAAAACTTGTGAGACAGTTAAGTGAATTTTGCCCCATTTTCTTGCCCCATTAAGTGAATCACTGAAGTTATTAAATTAGTAACATGGTTGTTAAGCAAATCTGGCTTCCCCATTGACTTTGTCAGAAAGTTGCAAAAGGTGGTCACATGACACTGCAACCGTGATAAATATAAGCCAGTTGCCAAGCATCTGCATTTCAACCCCGTGACCATGGGGATGCTAGAAAAGGTCATTAAGTGTGAAAAATGGTGGTAGGTCACTTTTCAGTGCCATTGTAACTGAATGGTCACTAAACAAACTGTTGTAAGTTGAGGACTACTTGTATTAGTTCTGGGAGGCTAATAGCCTTTTGCCTTCTTGAGGTGACCTACATTGGGAGTAGAAAACTCTTGGGGAGGGATGAGATATGGGTACTTGATGGAAAGAGAATAGAGGAAAAAGAACTATATTGGATCAGAGAAGCATAGATAGGAGGCATGTCCAGAAAGTGTCAAAAGATAATGAGAGGGGAAAAAATAGTTTATCCTGAAAAATGTGATGGAAATCAGCATGAAAAATACAGGATATAATGATTCACAGAATAAAAATAACATGTTCAGAAACCAAGCATAGCTTAATCCTATGCTGTGGGAGCAAAGCCATCCTAATACAGTATTATGGGGGGATAATCATTACGGACTGAGTATGTGAAATTTCAATCCACTGTTATTAATTAACATGGAAAATAAAGCCTTGGTGTGATTAAAATTCAGTGGTTTTCAGTTGTAGCCATTTTTTCCCCTGCTAGGGCTATTCATAAACTTTTTAGGCTACAATGGAATTAGGCTAAAACTCCTGTGGAATTTTCTGACAATGGTTAAGAAGGAGCTCATTTTCCGTATGAAGACGTCTACGATCTTTCAATTCTTTTTTGCATTTTTATAAAACCACGATCCAGCTTTCTATTTCTGCTGCAATAATGCTTCCAGGATTATTGGGTGTTTAGATAGAACATTAGATATTTAAACTTTTCTGTCGGATGAGAGAAGCCGGATGGATTTTGTTCAGGGATATTTTTATTCCCTAGGTTAAGATGAACAGCACTCAGCTCTGTCTGTATATGGGAAATCTCTGTGGTTTATGTTAATCCCCAGAAGTTTTTCTACAGACACACAATGGAGTGCTTCATTGTTTATTATCCTGTAACATATGGTAGCCTTTTTTTAATTAAAATTTTCTTTATTAAACAAATAAACACAAAGGCACAATTCATACAATAAAAAAGTTGAATGTGGTACAGTTTCCCTAACATCAATCATTGGCATTACATCACTAAATCCAATAGTAATATTACATAATTTTCATCTATGCACTTTAAATATATATATAATCATTCCTTATTCTCCTTGATCTTCCTCATCTCTAGCCAACCATAAAATTTCTCCCATGTTTTATAATAATCCGAATCTTCCTTATTTTTTAGTACTTTTGTTAATTTATCAATTTCTGCGCACATTGTAATTTTCTTCAATATTTCCAATTCATTTGGGATATCTTTATTTTTCCAATTCTGTGCATACGCCAACCTTGCAGTAATTACACGAATCATTAAATACAGGGTTTCTTTATCGTATTTCCCAGTGTTAATTCCTAGCAGAAAGAACCCAGGCCTATATTGTATTTTAATTCCACACATTTCTTCTATCCACTTATGTAGATTTTGCCAGTATTTTGGGGCCTCTTTGCAACTCCACCATAAGTGATAATAAGTTCCTATTTCTTACATTTCCAACACATAGGGGAAAGTTTAGGGTTCATTTTTGCTAATCGTGATGGTGGTATATACCATCTATAAAATAATTTATACAAATTCTCTTTGAAGGGTATCACTAGTGTCATTTTTTTATTTCTATTCCATAGTTTCTGCCAATCATCTAAATTAATGCTATAAGCAAAATTTTTCATCCATACCACCATCGTTTCTTTTACTTTTCCTTCTTCCAATTTAAATTCCAATAAAACTTGATATATTTTTTTAATCATTTTCTGCTCAGGTCCTAATAAAATTTCATCTAATTTTGTCCTAGTTCTACTAATTCCCAATTCTCTCTTATCTTTTAATTATTTTGATTGGAGTTGCAAATAGGCTCACCATTCCACCTCAATTCCCTGGTTCCTCAACTCTTGTCTAGTTTGTAGTTCTCCTTTTTCATTTAGTATCTCTTTGTAGGTGATGATTTTCCCTTGGTGCAAAAGGTGTGGGTGCATCAGTGTTTCCAGGGTTGATAGCCAAATAGGAGTTTATACATACATTTGTCTTTTTATCTTGTTCCAAATGTTTAAAAGAGTCTGTCTCACTTTGTGCCTATGCACATAACTATAACCTTTTGATTTCTCCTGCCAGAGGAAGGCATGCCAACCCGACTGTAAGTTGTAACCTTCTAATATTAAAATTCTTTTATTTCTGTGACTAATCCAATCTTTCACCCAAGTTAATATTGAAGCTCTGTAGTACAACTCCCGGTCGGGTAGGCCAAATTCTCCTCTTTCAGTAGCATCTTGCAGCAACTTTAGCTTAATTCTTGGTTTTTTCTTCTGCCATATAAAATTTGTCATTGTTCTATTCAAATTATCAAAAAACTTTTTCTCTAGTTTTATAGGGGCATTTTGAAAAAGAAATAGTAATTTGGGGAGGACATTCATCTTTGTTACTGCTATCCTTCCCATGAAGGATAGCCCTAATTTGTCCCATTTTTCCAAATCTATGGTTATTCATTTTATTAATGGGTCATAATTGTCTCTTTTGAGTGTGGTATATCTTGCCAAAATAGTAATTCCCAAATATTTGACCTTTTCTACAATTTGGATGCCCATTCTCGTTGCTAATAATTCTTTCTGTTTATTTGTCATGTTTTTAGTAATATTTGTTTTGTCCTTATTGATCTTTAGCCCCGTGACTTCTCCAAATTCTTCTAAATTGCCTAATTTTGGTCCCGAATTTTGTGGCTCCTGTAATATAAAAAGTAAATCATCCACGAAGGCTTGTAATTTAAATTCTTCATTTTTTATTTTTAGACCTTTAATTTCTGTATCATTTCTAATTATTCTTGCTAAAACCTCCAATGACATAATAAAGAGAAGTGGTGATAATGGGCATCCCTGCCTGGTTCCTTTTTGAATTTTGAATTTGTCTGTTATCCGCCCATTCACCAAAATTCTGGCTTCTTGTTTTTCATAAACTGCCGAAATTACATTTAAGAATTTCTGTCCGAGATCCATATCTCTAATTTGCTGCAAGATGAACTGCCATTTAACATTATCAAAGGCCTTTTTCGCATCTAAAAAACATTAATGCAACTTGATCACCACTGTGGTCCTCATCATATTCTATAATGTCTAGAGTTGTCCTGATATTGTTTTTAAGTTGTCTGTAGGGAAGAAATCCATTTTGGTCTGAAGAGATAAATTCATTTAAGATTTTTTTGAGTCTTTCTGCAATAATTGAGATGAAAATTTTATAATCAACATTAAGTAGGGATATCGGTCTATAGTTTCCAGGGTCCATGATATCACATCCATCTTTAGGTATAATTGTTATCCTTGCTTCCTTCCAAGAATTAGGGATTTTAGCTTCTTCTAACACTTCATTAAATATTCTAAGCATTTTACTACTTAGCGTATTCTGTTGCGATTTATAAATTTCCACTGGGAGACCGTCTGGGCCCAGGGCTTTGTCATTTTTCTGCTTATTTATTGCCCAGTGGATTTCTTCTATTGTTATTTCCCGATTCAGGATATTTTTGTCTTCTGAAATTCTTGTGAGTCCTGCTTTCTTTAGATATTCTTTTATTTTAACATCTGCTGGGTATTCCTCCTCTCTCTATAATCTCTCATAATATTTTTGGATTATCACTCTTTTTTCTTCTTCTTGGTAGCAGATCTCTCCTTGGTCATTTCTTAATTTAGTAATCCACCTCTTTTTGTTTT